TTGCAAGTAGTGTTTAAATCAAACCCCCTCAATTTGCGAGTAGAATGTTTAGGACCTTTTCGGTTGTGTGATTTTGACGACTAGATAGTGAACGAAGCTCCGAAGAGCCTTTCTTTGAGAACGACCCGAGTCGGGTACCTCGGTTACCACATGCCCAAAAATACACTCAACAGTTGGCTCACCTTGAGGCCCCTATTGTAAACACCCCTGCTGAAAATATTTTCTAGCTTGGTATTCTTTCAGCCTCCCTCTACAAGCCTAACAACAATAAACAAGAAATGAACATTTAAAATTTGTTTACACAATTTCATTATTGTAAGCAAATTAGAATTAGACAACAAAAAAAAAATAAAAAAATCAGAATCACTATACTTAGGCCAGAAAATAGTTTCTTTTTTAGGTAAATGCCAAACCTTTTTATATTTATATAGATGAAGACGGTTTTCTTGTATTATCACATTAAATTTATTATTAATGACCCTGGTTAGACATGTACAATACGGACTGCATACATGCAAGGCCGGCCGGCCCTTTTATTTACTATTGTATATATATTAATATATAGATATATAATATTTAAATACTGATTCTGAATATAAATTATATTTTTCTCTTTATGTTTATACATTTTTTTTCCACTATACAAATTCCCATAATGATTATTGATAGAAAAATTAATGTATTTTTATTTCTCACATTTCCTCATCTTGCTTGAAAATGCACAATGTTACTGTTAAAGGGATCAAGTGAACTGAACTCATTTACAGATTTTTTATTTATTTATATTGTTAATTATATAGTTCTAACTTATTAAATATAGTAATTAATATTCTACGAATTGAAATGTACTCCGACAAATTTATGCTATGATCAAGTGCTCAAGTGAAAGTAGGAAATTTTGGTTGTTTATTTTTTAAGAAAAAATGGAAAAAATATATCTTCTATCCCTTTCTGTTCGTGATTGTTAAGATATGATTCAAATTTTATTTTTTTAAAAAAATTGTTACTATTTTATTTTATTTTCACTATATTTTAATTTTTTTTAATAACATGATGATATTGTTTTACAAATTTAAAAATTTATGAAATTGAAAGCAACCGAATATAAATACATTTTCTTAAAATTATGAGGACCTGCCCTGATGCACTGTACCCATATACACCATTAATGGAAATTAATAATACATGACCTTCAAATCACAATACATACGCAGTACTTAAATTCAGTTATAACTTCTTTTAATCACAAAGTCTACAATCCCAAACTAGATTACCTTTTTAAGGTTTAAGAACTAAATACTCTACGCAAATGATATCCGACTGGCAGGATTTGGCCAATACACAAGCTTCTAGTCGGTTGAATGTCTTTAGACCTGCAAAAATTCTTGCAGTTTTTCAGGGAGAGCCTGTAATGCTAAAGTTAATGCAAAGTGTGTTTGAGAATAAATTTTTCAATTGAAATTTGTCTTAAAGTGTCAAACAGGGGCAAAACGAGCCCGGTCCTACACAGGTGCAAACTAGGCTTATAAACCAGGCTTATTTACCCTCCAAATCAATGTAGAACAACCCACAAATGATATTCGAAACAATCGGGAGAGTAATACAGACTCTGTTGTACGGTTTATATTATAATAGGCAGCTTTACGAGATTCTGTGCAATTGTGGCTGATCGGTGACGGTGAGTGTCAGTGTGTGAAAACGCAAATGTGAGAAGAAGCTGTCAGCGGTAGATTTTGTCCACTCAGAAGCCAACAAAAACAGGTGGGACCCGCAATGGACCCACAAACACGCGACACCCGACCCCACCCAATGAAGACTCTACAGTTCTACACTTTGGTGCGTATCGTGACATCGATCACATGCAATCATTACATTACCGTAGTTATTCTCATGGCCTAGTAGTATAATACAACAGTTGTTGTACAGTTGGCCCTACGTACTTACAGCGACGCCTAGGCTGCTTTATTTAGGACTTATGCTTAACCTCAGGTATTGATAATTTGATACCATACTTGTGAATT